GCACCTTCTGCATATCGTGACTGGGCAGTCCTTAATATCATGACCGGGTTTAAAGCATTCGAAACACACTTTTTGTTGGTTATTATGTTTTATAGTGAATGATCTGCCATCAAAAAATGTTGCATAGGGGAGGCTTGTTACTTCAGGGGGGAATTCACATTTAATAAAGCGGGTTCCATCTGGTATGTTTCTATCCTTGTATCGTATTGTCCTATGTCTGATGTTGCCAAGTGGTTTTACATTCCATTGTGCAAGTTTAGTTAAAATTTCGTTATCGGGGATATAGCATGGAATATTCATAAATGATACGACCATTATTTTGGATCCAATTAAATTATATGAGAGAACTTTGTCGTGGACAACTATAGGTTTGTTTAGGAGATGTTTTAAGCGTTCATGATTATCAAAGGTTATTTCAACGTTACCTGTTGTTGGGCAGGCGGCAATCACTGAGTTTTCGCCAACAATATCTTCAATTTCATCTATGATATCCACAATTTTTAATCCTTGGTATAGTTCCACATTAATAGTATTTCTTTTAATATCAGTAGTATTCACATTAAACATTTCCATTTTGATGGATTAGTCAGTACAAGTTTCGATGAGTGACAGTGTTTATACAAGAAATCATTTCCACGGTTGATTGAGTCCCGGACGCGAAGTAAACACGGCTTGTCAGTCCGAACATTCAACCGGAAGTCTCAGGCGAGCGTGATAACCACTACACTACCGAACCGTCGGCTCAAATGGGTAACAGTCAAGTTTTGCGTGCATGGAAGTCCCCTAGAACGAGATTGACTTGGCGAGACATTTGGTAGGAATAGGTAACCCCAACCCCAACCCTAACCCTTACCCGTAACCTAAAAAAAGTCGTGTCGACGGTCAGGCTTTTGCTTTTCACATCCAAGCAGCCAAGTCCTCGGTAGTATAGTGGTCAGTATCCCCGCCTGTCACGCGGGAGACCGGGGTTCAATTCCCCGCCGGGGAGGATGAGTTTTTTTGTCTTTTGCATTCGTTGTCTTCATTATAATTGAAAAAGACTCTAATGGAGCCTTAAAGTACAGATCCACCACACAAATACGAGGGATCGATATTGAACCAGTAATGTAAAGGTTAAAGCGAAGGGAGGAGGTGCGTTGATTGAAACCATTAGGTGTCGAGTCTCAAGCAATCGGCGGACTATTCGAGCCTCCAGTGTCGTTCTAAATGGTCAGGAGACCGAGAAACAGAGAAAAAAGTCGGGACGCCCGTGCGTGTACTCGAGGCACCGGGGGGAATTGAACCCTCGACCTTCTGTTTACTAGACAGACGCTCTAACCCCTGAGCTACGGCGCCTTGATGAATGCCACCTGAACGCTCGTCCGAAACAACGCTGTTCATTGGACTAAAAGTTTGTGTTGGAAGCG